CACAGTTTGTCGATGAGATCGGAGGTGGAGGGAAGTGTGTTGTTCCTCTATGAAAGATGGCTGGCTATCTACTCGTAATACATAGGTGGAAGACACTACAAAGAGGGTAAACCCCTTACACTCACCTGCGCACCCAAAGCGTAACACACATGTATACCTCCACTCATACATTTCCCATATATTTCTCCACATACACCTATGCTCCTCTGCGCTGCCATATCTGCACTCTGAACACCGCAACATGCTACTACGGGGATTATGGTACCATCATATTGCACATCAGATATACCATCATGCTTGTAGAGCGCTCTTTACCTAGGGGAAGCGAGAGCTATGGAGAGAAAAATGACAAGGAGAGGGGAGAGGATTCCCTAATTGACTGATTAAGGTGAGGATGTACCGTACAGTACTTCTTGGGGCTTGAAGCGGTGTGATGGCCTACCTACAGACAGCCAGACGGAATGTACTTGTATCTTCAGCCTGCTCTGCACCTACTCTCCCGAGCAGAGGTTAAAGTTCTCACCCCCCCGGGTGACCCTATTGACCAATGGCTTCAAAAGCAAGGCCCAAGGTCCCATGGGATGAGTACTGATACTCGAGCACACGCTCAGGGTTTGCGGACGGGTCAGGAGCACGCCACCCCACGCTCCGTGAACTGCCAAGTACGAACAACAAGCGAACAGCCCTCAGTCCACTTTGGAAACAAATCTAGTAACCGATCTACCTATCGGGGGGATCAAGGATTGGCTACCGTAACGAACTGTACTGTAACCTGCTCGGGTATGCTAAGCTGTTGAATTGAAGGGAAAAGCAGGCCTGTATTAGACTACGTGCGGTTCGGGTGGGTGCAAGGGTCATCAATAAATAAGCTGGTTGGATGGTTATTGATTGTTCGGACGCATTGCGCCAAGACAGATACTAATAATGTCTGAGCGTCCGAATACTTTATAAATGGCCGCGATATGTGTATCTAAGAAAAGGTAAATTTAATATTCCGTAGCGTAATGGAATTGGCATGGTTTGGCAGAAGACTCATCTCTGCTTGGGTACCCGCGCACTAATTGGACTTTTACCGTATCGATTGGGCTTTACAGTACTTGTACCTTGGCCCCCTTGGGTTAATTCTCAATACCACATGGGCTTGAACATTCTCGCGTGGAGGTCTCACTCACACCCAGGTAAAACATAGCCGCGCCCACTGCCCAGCCTATCGTGGCTCGCATTGCCCACCTCTTTCTGTATGCTTTTCCAGCTAGAGCCTGCTTCTCTTCTCCCCCTCACTTTTTTTTTCTTCCTCCTCAGACTTACTTGCTGCTTTCTTGTCGGCTAGCTCGGGGCCACCGCTCATTCTCATCTCCTCTCTATAGGTAAGGGAGTTATAAATCAACAATTTTTTTTTTAAAAAAAAAAAGAAAAAAGAAAGGAAGAGAGATGATGTGGAAGAACGCAATTTTAACCGCTGCGGCGGTGTGTGCACCGGGGGTTCTGGCACAACTGAGTGTTGAGGCATATGATTCAAATCACCAGAGATGGCCTTATCAACCTGGATGTGACTACTTGAAGTTGAACATCTCCGCGAGAAGTATTCCCTTCCCCTCACCTACTCCTCGACAATTGAGGGTTGGAGACTAACCGGCGCGGATAGCGGTTCTAACAAAGGACCAAATCTTCCTAATAAGCGATGTGAACCGTAACACCGTGTATATAAACGGAACAGTGGTAAATATCCCATACGAACTCTTGATCGGAGAGATCGCCCTGGATACCGCGTTCAGTACGGAGGACTACAAAGTGGACTGGCATATTGCTCCGAAGGTCAAATACGACTTTGACTTTTTTACCTACTCCAACACCTCGAAGAGGCTGTTCGCCTCCCCCATCGCTTTCTGCCTCCCAATTCCCAGCTGATAGTTTGCAGTATTTTCGCCGGAGAAGTGCGCCAAAAATATGGCGTAGCCAACACTTCAAAGACTGTATTCTCCTACGACCCCGCTGTGGATACTGTTCGGGTCGAGGAATGGCCCGACAAGATCCCTGAAAAACGGCTCCCACTCACAGGGGCGTTCATAAATGTGCCGGAAAGGCAGGTTGCTTACTATTTTGGCCCGATCCCGCGCACCCTCCTGGAGACGTTTGGCACGGAGATCTTCAAGTATAATACTTCCACTGGTGCCGTCGATAGATTTTCTGCGCCGAATAAACTTTGGGCGGCCGCGGCGTTTGTGCCCGTTGGTGCAGAGGGGGTTATGGTTTTGTTGGGGGGGACCGAGAGTGATAAGGCTACTAAGGTGTGCCCCGCAACACCCTTGGCTAATTTATAGCACTGACGGTAGGCCTAGCTATCTTTTGACTCTGTACACGTCTACGATATTGGGGGAAACACCTGGTACAGCCAATCCACCGGTGGCTCTGCGCCCCCCTCCCGCGAGGGGTTCTGCACAACTGTGGTGTCTTCACAAGACTGTAGTTCTCACCAAGTGCATGTCTATGGGGGCAACCGGGTTGGAGATGTCAATAAGAAGCCCTCAATTGATAATCACTGGATTTTGACCATCCCTGGTTTTGTCTGGATTAAGGCTCCCAATCTAGCGACTCCCAGAACTCTGGCTTCCTGCAACTTACTTGGAAAGCGTAGGATGTTGGTTTCTGTTGGAAGCCCGGGCACTGGTGAAGCTGGGTGCTTGCCAACCTTGGAGGTTGTGGACTTGTCAACCCTTGAGGTTATCACTTCCATGAATGATGAGAAAGAGTATGAAGTTCCTGCCGTCGTGGTTAGTGTTGTTGGTGGATCGTGTGTTCCCCTTCACCCTCCTGTCGCCACCCCTCTTCCTTCCCGGCTAATTTAATAATAGCCCAACTGGTTCCGCGACTCTCTCAACCCCGTCAGCCGGGTGGGCTCGTAATCTCGATACAGTCTTTTCGCAAACTGGAGTATCCTGCCCGGGGGGCAATACCTCATCCACCCCACAACCAATTATCGATCACCCCAAGCCTCCAGTCGGTGCTATTGTCGGAGGAGTAGTGGGTGGTGTGACCGCAGGGCTCCTCCTCCTCTTCGGCTTCTTTTTCTATCGCCGCAAGCTGCACATTACAGGCGTCGCTGCCGGGGATGTTATCTCCCCAGAAACCACGACCCCCGTCGCCGGATTCCCCTATCCTCCGCCTGTACAGGAAGATAAAGATGGTGCTGCACCGCCGTATCATGTGGATTGTGGGTATACCGATGCTACAGGAAGTAACGTACTTGGGCAGCAAGGGGTTCGGGGGGTTACGCATGAACTTGAGGGCCCTGGGCCTGCGGCTGTAGAGCTCGGAGCCGGGGAAGTGCTTAGGAGGGAATGACTGGATTCGGATCGATTCATTAATTCATTAGTTTCTTGAGTTATGTGTTGCTTTGTTTGTTTGTTTGTTTTGGCACGAGGGAGTGGGAGTAGGTCGGGGAAGCGGAGTTGGTGCGGTGTTGCCCGAGTTGGTAGGGAGTTTGGACGTGCTTGAGAGAGCGTAGAAACGGTGTTCAAGTTATTTCTTTTTTGTGTCTCTTTTCGTTTTCACAATCTTATCTATTCTGCCTCACTTTTGTACATAAAACATTATTCTCGCCCCGTGAGAAATAAAAGAGTGTACCTCCGGAATGACTCAGCTGCCGCAACGACTTCATTGATAGGAAATAAATTTGAATGGTGCGATACGGGTACTTGTACGAGTACTTGTACCTGATCGCTTCTGGAATAATTGACGAGACCTCAACGGGTTACACGGGACTAGACCGGACAGGCTCAGCCCCTAAAATTGTGCTTTTAGAAATACCGTATATAGGCGCGGAAGCAGTTGCTATCTAGAAAAGGTACCCGGGTGGGAACCTTTATGTCATTCGTTGTTAGTCTTGGGGTGAATTTTTTGGGGACCTTTTTTGTCCAGTTGTCCGTACTCCAGGACCGCCAGGTCGTGACTACGGTATTCGCTGATTTCTCGCACCACGTAACTTATGATCTCGGTTCCTCTCTGCATTATCGGCTGCAGTGGGGCTGTGGGCCCTGGGATTAATGCGGGGCTTTCGAGTTGAAGGACTACTGGTTACACTGGGGCGCTTGTCTCTGTTTTTGTGTGCGGCGCCAAGACTGTTCTTGGCAGAGATCCAGCAGTTTATAGATTCACTTATCCTGATTAGGTATGATGTTTAGCCTGAATAGGGTTTGACAGTGCCTTAATTAGCACGATGTTGGTGGACCTTGATTTATTCGTGGCATTAAGAACTTTGTAGCTAAATTTATCACTCACGCAAGTTGTTTCCTCTGCTTGACCGGAGCACGACATCTTTGAGGGATTATGCAATGGAATTGTTCTCCAATTGATTGATGCTCCACCGACATCAGGATGGATACCCGAGTATTTGGAGATGGTTGCCGTCAAAAGTTGAGGTGTACAGTGCCGTACTTGTCAGGCTGTTTTCAAGGCGTCCCCGCAAAGTTATTTGTCGCACATGATATCGGGGGTGAGAATAAGTAATCCAAGGGATGATCATGATTGGCTCCGTGACCTCCTGTCTACTGGGAATGGCACGATACCGGAGGTGCGCCCCCATAAATGGTTGCTACTTCCTAGCAGTCTACGCCTACTTTCTCCTGCTCTTGACCAGACAACTGTAGGTCACAGCCTCACCTATCCAATCGTGTTCCACCGCTCTTCTGGGATGTCGCAAGCACTCATATCGCGATTGAGGTCGCTCCCTTTTTGGTGGCGACCCCCGCGCCCCCCCCCCCCCCCCCCCAGAAAAACGCAACACGGACCCTGCAACTCAGATACTGGAGAAATGTGACAGGATGCTGTAATTTCCTCTCGTACTAAGCCACCGTGGATTTTTTCTGTCTCAATTGAGGGCTGAGTTTGCAGCGATTTCACCACCGCTGCTCGAGAGGGGGGGCATTTCGGTGGCCTACCCCACGTGTAGCAAATTTCTCTAGTATTCGAGCACTCAAGGCATCCGCTACTAGAGAGAGCCTATGCTACGTAAACTGAGAAAGAACAGCTTATCCTACAGGTATGATGGTCCTACTTGGATAGTTTTATCTCCGCATTTTTACCGCTCTCTGGAAGAGGTGTCTTTCATATGCCGAGTGTCGGAATCTTGTTTTTGGTTGGGTCTACCATACCGCCTGGTCAGCTGGATTGGCGGGGGATGGCAGACCCTCGTTGTTAATCCATTCTCTGGAGCTGAGCATTCTCGACGAACCTCCCCCTCCCACCAACCTCTGTTTCACGCACATCTCACTGCTTAGCTTTCGATATGAAGGAACTTGAATTCAAGTTCGCTGCTGGAATTCTATGTTTGACCAGTCTGATATCATCATTGACGTCCGGGGCTGGGGTCGTGCTTCAACCGAGAGATGTAGAAGTTGACTTTAGCGGAATGCCCGAGTGTATGTCTAAAGTTTGTATCCCGTAGGTTTCTTCCTCACATCTTTATCCTTCGAACTTGGGCGTGATAAGCTGATAGACTTGAATAGGATCCTAGGCTCATCGCTAGGCTGCGGACCAACGATCTTGGTAGACTGTTTCTGCGGAAAGCCGAATCCTCTATTGTGCGGTTGGGTGTGAGTTTTTTTGCACTGCCCTTCTACGCTCCTCACGAATTCCTCACTTTGTTTTTTTTTTTTCTTCTTTCCTTCCCTCCTCGCTCACACAAGTTAGGACGGACTGGGAGTGTTGGAACCGTACGGAAGACTGGTATGATACCCAGTGCCCTGGGAAGCCTCTTGTCGACCTCACCGGAATCCCTAGCTGCGTGCGCAGTTGCTTCGACAAGACAAATGTTTGTATCGAATCTACTTCCAACTGTATATGCTCCCAGCCAAAACCTGATTGCACCGCTTCGAAAACCGACTGCAATTCTAGCGAGGTGGCCGTGTACGATGCTTGGTATTCAAAGTCTTGCGAGTATAATCAGACGACCTTGACCCTCCCGAATCCCTCTTCGACGAAGGTGCCACCATCGTCTACTACCGTTAGTACCACATCTACCTCTCCGCCCGCGAGCTCTTCTGCCAGTGGTGGCGGTGGAGGTTTATCGAAAGGAGGTGTTGCCGGAGTTGCCATCGGCGCGTTTATCGGGACTGTCGCCCTGGGGACCCTCTTATATCTCTTCCTTTTCCGGAGACCGAAAAATCCCGTGCAGGACTACAGCACTGCGCAGCCCGCGCCGGTGGAGATAGAGGGCTCTTCCCATCCAAAGGTCAGATACGAGCTGATGTCGGGAGATGCGCACTTGGTGCCTCCCGCAAAAGCTCCCGTGGACGATTCTCGCCCTACGAGCGGTATTTATGCTCCTGTTGGGGGAACCCGACCTAACAGTGGACTTGGTCCCATCTCGCCAGCAGGAGAGGGAGGGCTTGACCGAGGATTTTATGAACCGAAATAGGGGTCTAGGTGTTTAGGCAGTGGGGTTCTTTTTTTTTTGTGTTTTTTTCTCTTGTTTTCCGTTCCGGTTTTCATCTGTACAGTACTGTACATGTTTACATAAAGGGTCTTTCGGTAGTATATTATGATGGGAGCTTTTGAAATATCGACTACCTAGAGGCACGGTACGGTACACTTGTGGCCCGCGAGCTTTACCGCCCTGTGAAACGCTAAGAAATTATATGCATGATGGGCGATCGGCACTGGATACGAGCCATGTGAAATCTTTGACCCGGTGCGACGTGCTAAATCGTGTCGCTGTCGCAAAACCACGGCCGGTCTGCGCGTAGTGCAATGCAAACGGTTTGACGCTCCATCGTCGTGCTCGCTTGCGCTTGCTACACCTACGTGGCCGAAGCAACCCCGACAAATCCGAGTTGAGTGCCCTCTATCCTATCTTTCGTACGACCCGAGTACGAACAAAATCAATCGTCGTTGAAATAAAGCGCATAAGCTCGGCTATGGACATCTTACTGTAGATCTCTCGGTAGAAATTACCCCAAGTTGGCATAAGGGGGAGTTCGGGCCGCAGATCTTCCCCTTCCTTGCAACCTACATCCCGGGTGATGTTTCGTGAATAGGACTAGGGGGGGGGGCAAGAAGGGGTTGGTGAAATCTTGCCGGCTTCTCGGAGTGTAATGCCTAATGACTTTCCTATGCCCCAATTCGGCATGGCCTACTTTTCCTTCAATACACTTGAGCGTAGCCGAGTCCCTTAAAATATCTTGATGGATGCAATTGCATATTATATCGTATCACGGGGACGGTGTGTGCGCTATCGAGATTGGCCGAATTGGGATCGTGCTATGCGTATGGATGTAGACATTGTCCTCGATGAGCCTGGGCTGTGTTCTGATTCTACCCTGTACTTTAGATTCTACGAGTATGGTACTCGTGGGTGTACGGATAGTGTAAGTATAGTTCGGGAGTAGTCTAGGGGTAATAGTCCAAGTCGGCCGTTAAGTTACCGGTAGTCTAGAGATGTGAGGCTACCACGGCAGAAAAACCTTAAAGATTCGACCAAATACCAATGCTATTGCGCTCTGCGGAAAAGTCCGGACTAGTGGACTAAGAATGCGTGGCCGGGTGGTACGCCGGGCTTGAACGGTGGAAGGAAATATTGTGAAGCAGTAGAGAACCTGGAGATCCGCAGCTCGTCCGGGCCCGGTCGTGGTTTTGTAGATGTGAGAGAGGAGAAAAGGTGCTCGGTGAAGTCACTTCAGTTCCTTTTACCTCGTGCGGCATCAATCGATGAAGTTCGAATGCTAAGGGTGGCGGTAGTCTGCCGGGGGGGGGGGGGGGAGGGTATTGGATATGAAATATTTGTGAGTGGTGAAAAGCTGGACATTCTGGCGACTCCCCTGGCCTTTCCCGGGGCAGAGTATTAGGACCACCGAACGCTAGAGCGTCTAGTGCGTAGATCTGGGAGCATGGCTATCAGAGAAGAGATGTTTCTGTAGGAAACCGATAAAAGGGTCGAATATTACTAGTGTGATGTTGTGCGGTACTATCGGAATCTAGTAGATTTGTGGAAGCAATCCGGCCCGAACCGAATGTTTTTTTCCCTGAGGAGGAGCCGATCGAACTTGGCGAGAAATTTTGGGTCGGAAAATCAGGTTTTGAAAAGAGGTAGAGGGGAAAATCGAAATTGGAAGGCCCTTGCTATGATAGCTTGCACATTGGTCGGGCGAGTGACCGCCCCTGATGGAACGATACCATAGGAATAAAGGTGTGCAAATTATGCGTGAGTTGACATACCGGTAATGGACGACTCGGGAGCCAAGGTGGTAATGGGAGAGCAGCCTCGTTATAGGAGTATTTTCTTTCGTTATCGGGAATTTCGGAGAATGATCTCCACTTTTATTGTTTTGTTTTGTATGAGAATTTTTTGGGGGATGCTAGACTATTGTGGTGAACTGGGGATGAAGTTTTGGTTCCGTGCGTTCGGGGTTTATTTACTCCTCTATTTCTCGATGCTGCTTGTAGCGCCTTGAGTGAGGTCGCGTGAGCAGCGACAGTTACAGTACCATTCTTTCCCCTCCGCACTCGTCATTTCGCTGGGATCGCGTTCGCCTGCTATGCACGATTTAGAATATTAACGGGCGTATCCCATCATTCTTATTCTGATATGATATGACTAATTTTTTCGACATCCACCCACGCGCCCACGCACTTGTAGCAGCGAACGTGCACATGGTGGCTTGGGTCCTTATGGTAGGTGGGAGGAACCTGGTGGTACCGTACTTGTACTCGAGTACTTATGCCCTCTTGGGGCACCGTAGAATCTCGTGAACTATCTCCGGCCGCCGGTCATCCCACTCTAGGTTTATTTTACAGGTTAATGGAATCGCGGATACCGGTTAGCGAGATCCAACACACTGAGCTGGCTAATCTTTTATTATATCAGGAAGACGCTAATCCCTCTCGGAGGGCTGCCGGAGATAGTGGGTCTCACGAGATTTTATGGGAACTCGAGGACTCTCTCCAACTGCTGTTTCATTCACCTCGGATGATGAGCCCAAGAGCTGAGTCCGATTGCGGAGTTTACCGCTGGGATTTAGGCGAGGGGTGGGGTACTGCGGAGCCCCACAACCGATTGGGACAAGGGTTGGTGGCTGCGAGACTGCAGACTCTCTTCCTGGGTGCCGCTACTGGACTGGTTGTGTACCCTCTCACGTGAGACGCCTGGGGAAGCCCGGGGCCTTTTCTCAGGAAAGAGGTATTGTAATACTCGAGAAAAGGTGGGGGGGTGAGACCCAAGTGATAGCGGTGGTCCAACATCTCGACCCCGCAATCGCTGGATTTTAAGACATTGGTTCCCGAGAAGGATTAGCGTTTTCTTGATACTATAAGATTAGCCTACTGAGAGATCTCATTAAGCAGTATCCGCAACTCTCTTATCAAATTAAACGTATCCTGGGCTGGTGATCATATCGCTACGGTACAAGTACCATATTTAGTTAATCCTTGTTTTCGGGTGCTTTCCCTGGGATAAGGAGATCCCTACCAGGCTCCCGGGACACTTGGAATTACTAAAAGATTTTAGTGGAATGAGAGCTTTAAGTTAGCGCTTGGGGTTTGTATTGTGTAGGGATATGACGGACCAGACCCTTGCTGATGGATTCAGTTTCCGGTATCCGGGAGTGGGTCAGGCTAATCACGGGTTTCTCGTCTGAGCTGGCGAGAGGTTTCTTGGGGTTGGTGGGTCTACTTGCATCCCCTGCAGTGATGGCTGCAGGATTTCCCTGCATTTGGTCAAGCAAGGTACACTGTACCACTAAGAAGGGAAGTATCGGTACTCGAGTAGTAATCTGATTCTCGTAGTGGGTGGCGGTGGCCAAATGTCCAACCGTGGCTACCTCCGGGGGGTTGCAGCTGGGGATACCCGTATGCCCGGGGGCTCAGAAATGTGCTGGTTGTTGAAGTGGAGTTGTTGGTTGTGGGGGGTGTAGTGGGGCGACCGGTTTCTTCCAGTTTTGTGTTTTGGGTCCTTGGCGCAGGTGGTGTTTCACTATTAGGTCACGTAATGCGGGTACTTGTACTGCCACTTCTTGTGTCGGCTTGAAGCGAATACTTTTAACGGGTGTTTAAATGGTGGGAAGTTTCCCAACCTTCTCCAACGCGTTAGGCAAGTGATGCGGGAATTCTCCCTTTTTGGCTCAATTGTTGCCACATAAATTAATTATGTTTCAGCTTTACCTTTGCCACTACCCCAATACTGTATCGCACGTCGATCATTTTAGGAGACTCATATTTCATTCATAATATCCAGGAGCACATAAAACATTCTCGAGTGAGAGAGCGTGACTAAAACCAACTCAGAGCACCGTACACTGCTCAAGAAACACGGGTTCGGCATAGATCAATCCTCCAGAACAGCAGACATCATCGAGAGAAAGTCAGAAAAGGGAAAAAAAAGAACGTGAGAGCCTCCTCCTAACAAGCTTAAAAAGGAAAACGCCTATGGACGTCAATCCTCCATCTTCACCCCCTTAGATCTCAATCGGTTCTTTGAGATTGGAAGGGACACATCTTAACCACCGCAAGGACCCTGGGTGTTCTTGCAGCTGGTTCTAACGCCGTAATTGCAGCAACTCCCGCCACTACCGCACTGGTACACGTTGTCCTCGCAGGGCTTCCCATTCCCGCACGTAGTCACGGCGGCGCAGTACCCGCAGTAAAGCCCAGGGCTATAGGAGCTGGCGCACTTGCAGCCGTCATAAGTGCAAGCGCGCTTTTCGAGACCGCTGATGTCACCGGGTTCGCCGAAGGGATTCGCGAGTGCCGCGGCGTGAGTGAGAGTCAGGAACAGGGCGAGAAAGGGGAGGGGCTTCAAAAGCACTGGGGTTTTTTAGTTAGTGTCTGCTGGAAGAAGGAAGGGGTAGTGGAAGAGGAGAAGATTACTGGTGATTTGGTTGTGAGAGTTTGCGCTGATGGTGCTCGTGTTAGTTTCTGTTGGTTAAGTGATTTTGAGTAAGGGAGAAATACTTGATTTGAGGGTTTTTATGCTATCAAGTTCTGGATCAGATCGGGGCAGTGAGGGACCGATGGCGGGGGGAGGTTGTGGGGGAATATGGCCGGTATTTATTCTTTCTGTCTTCGCCTTGAAAGAATAGGATCGTGTCCATGGCATCTGTTCCAATGGGCTAGGGAAGCTAGAGGGCGGGGTCACTTCGGGGGGCGTAGCCAACTTTCCAAGACTACATTGGTTACAGCAGAGAGCCCGGCAGATCCTGATACGGGTATCAGAAGTGCTCAGTGAATCTTCCGATTGTCGTGATATCGTCCGGTGTTTCCAGTACATGGGTATAGAAGTGCATCTCGTATTCATTAATGCGAGCGGAACAACGATATCCACTCAAGCAAGGAATTATCCGGCTTTCCTGCAGAGACCATATTAGCAGGCCATCCATAGGCCAATTAAATGAACACTCAGCGTTGGTGGGTATATTCTCTTGTGCACTCGCATGCTCGTCGAGGCCTGTGTTGATTTTTATCGTGCTCCCAGCCTTGGCCATCGCTGAAGTGCTTCTGGTTCTTTTATTTAGTAATTACTGTATATTTGCTCAGTAGTTCCTTAATGAGGGCGTCCAAAGAGTGTTAGTGCATAAGTGGTAAGCTCGAAAGGGCTGGAATGTGCCATTATAAACAGATAATCTATTATCCTTCCAACCCCCATCATCTGTGTTATCATGGTGATTATCTCTGGAAAATCAATATTTGGTCTATCCGCTACTATTACATCCACTACGGACCATATAGTTGGGTCATAAGTTAGTCACCTAGGGTCCAAGAATCCAGAAAAAATCGTCAAGACATTCCGAGTGAGTAACCATGAATCAATTGGTTAAGAAAGAAGTCCAAAGAACACAACTCTGTGATAGGTAAACAAGAGGATCGTGTCTGTTCCTTTTTTAAGAAAGACCGGAAGCGTATGGGAGATCTTAACTACCCCGCAGGAGTATGAAGGGGGCATCTGGGGTGGAAGGTTGCATATTTGTCCTGCACACCTCTAGGTGATGGTTTGAAGGGTCCTGGACGGGCAATAATATACTGATAAACATAGTATAGTATACCGACTGGGGTCTGCTTTTTACACAGGAGAATTCGATATCCTCGAGAACATACAAAGAAGTGTCAGCAGGCTAAATCTGATGGGGCATACAGGATACCCCATTGATGGGAGGTTGGTGTGCCAAAGATGCGATTGGCGGTTACAGAGAATTGCTATATAGGGATCTTTTATGATGTGTTAACTGCCGGTCGAACACAGAAGAGGTGTTGTTACCATGCCGTGAACAAGTGCAAGCTCGTGGCGGTTCGGCCTTTAATCCGCGTGTGTTGATAAGCCCACAAAGAGCGTGAATTGCCTCATGGGCTAACCATACCAGGGAATTGAACCATGTGCTTCTTCGGGTGGTGGTTTTCTACCTTGTAATTTTCTCAAGTCGCGTAGTGGAGTAAATGGGAGAAACTCTGGAGACAAGTGAACAAATTTATTGGATTTGAATAACAGCGTGGGTTGGAGTTTTGTTACTATGCCGGGTGCGGTTTAGTTACGCTGGTGGAATTTTTTATCGTAGAGTCAAACAACAGTGGTACCTTGCTAGCCCTACTCACCGTAGTGAGATTAGAAGCCTAGCACTCGTGGAAGATACAACTAGAAGCAACTATAGTAGGTGCTAGCTCCGGCGGGGGGCCCGCCACCTCTCTGAGAGCCTTAAAAATTTGGGAAAGAGGCTTCTGAGCATTCTAGGCACTGCACACCGGTCTCTTAGCTCACCTCTTTGATAATTCGCTTCCGCCAGTACCCCGGGCTCACTGCCTTTTTGGGGCATTGGGGTTATTATTCTCTCCGGCATAAGCCTGCTAGCATATGGCAACAATGAGGGGGCAAGCTCGCACCGGTTAGTATCCCTGCTTATTCAGGAGCAGTACCTGTTGAGCCATTAGATCTCTTGCAATTCGCTATCTCCGGGCTCTTCTGAAGGATTGGTGTTTTCCCGAAAAAGATAAAGTCTGAGTGTTCTTAACCTGTTGTATATCGTCAGCTACTACTCGGGGTTCTGTTAGCCTGCGAGGGAAAATGATCATGCGCTGATGTAGATTTTAGTTGATAATGTGAAAGCGAAATCCGGGGGATCTGCAATTTCTCGATCCGGATTAATCGATTGCGTTGGGGCGCGAGTGGTAGGGGAGATCCTTTTGTGCACGGCCAGCATAGGAACCATTTTGAAGGTAAACCTGTGTTGGCTGTTTGATATCTTCGCCCGAGGCACTTGTAAACACGGTAACCAGAGCGATTGAATTCACTAGAATCTGAAGCCTGACCTGATAGCACAGAATAGTTTAATGAATAAGTAATAAATTGCCTTACCACCAAATAGCCGTGTTTACATTGTTGTACCACCTGAAACTCAGGGGGTACAGCAGGGGGGGAGATCTGTGCGCGCACGAGTTTTAACGGTTTTCAGCTCCTTTCCGGGAGGTTGGTGTCAATTGGGTACCCTAATGGACTGGGGGTAAAAACGTAACGGCGCGTTGTCCGCGGGTGAATTTCTACTCCTTCATTTAATCTAGTATAAAAGCACCTTGGCCTCGTATTGCGGGAAGATCTGTTTGTCCCATCCTGCAACCGTTTCCTGTGGAAACCCGCCAGCGGATCTGTTTGCTCTCGCCACGAGGGTACTAAAGGATCCGGTTCTATCCGTTTTTCCCCGCATTTGGCAACCTGTCAATTGTCGCACGTTCCTGTCAGGAAAAAAGCCCAGGTTACACATTAAGCCGATCATAGATTAACCGGAAAATAGGATTGACGGCGGGCAGTTCTACCCGGGAAATCAAAGCTTATTTTAAGACATGTGGCCAGAGGGGATAAACCAGGTCATGTGAATTCACGAGTACTGTATCCATGTATCCAGGGGACCGTCAAACACTTTGCGATTCGCGATCTCTAACATCCGTTGCCCTCTGATTTCTGGATTCAGAGACAAGTCCCCCGAGAAGGGTGAATGTTCTCGTGAAACTGTATAGCCTTGGCTGTGTAAGATCTCATTAAGTGGTTTTCCTAGTTCTGTTATCATGACTTGCTAAAATAAAACTATGATCGGTTCATCCTGCTTTTTCCTCTGGTGATCCGCTGGTGAATCGCGAGAGTTTTTACGGCGATCTCGTGTGTTACCGCGGGGAGAACTTTCTCTCGGCGAGTGCTTTAGCCTTTCAAGTCCCGGTCTGGTTCGTTGGAATTGTGTGTGTGTAATGCGAATTATGAAGCCAAAGAGGCAGGTTGCACTAATTTTTGGAGGCAAAAATGCTGTCCGACTCTTGGCGCGGTGGCTGAGCCGTACCGAAGGCGCTCGGGCCAACCAGAGCAAGTAAGTAAATTTAGGACAGACTTAACTTACTTTTTTTTGTATCGGTACCCAGTATACGGTACATAATCTAATAGTGGTCGATAAGGGCTTAGACTAGAAGCATGTTACACCAATGAGAGCTGACATGCTGGAACCAGTCAGATAGTGGCGGAGTTAAGGTACGGTACTTGCTGAGAAGACTCCTGATAGGTAAGGAAAACATCGCAAACTGCACTATGATCAGACTATGGCTCTATGAAAAAATTGTAAGGATAGGTTACTTGAATACGAGCTGCTGCCCAACCCGCTTCCCTGAGCCCGGCGTCATCGCCGGCCTGGTGGCCTGGCGTCAGTAATTTGTTAAAGGAAATCGTCCCCGGTCGTTCGCTTCGGCGGTGCAAGTTTCTGGGTGGGGGAGGCGGGGTGATCCGAGGGAAGATCACCGGTTTGTGAAGACCAGAGCCATGGAACCCATCACTATTCGAGGAAATGGCAAAAGGAATGTACTTTCGGGATTTGGTGAGCTGGAAAATTTAATGACGCCATTGGGTAGCCTTCTAAAAGCCATTGCAGGCGTATTCAGCTATTGGCCGTGATGGGGATTTATCGGATTAGGGTTAAAAAACCAACAAGGCGCTCTGACATCGCTAACTGCGTACAGCCGCGTCCGCAGAGCTCTCATTGGCTTTCGGGTACTACTAGCCCTTTGAAACCCTTAGATAGCCCTCCGTGTCTATTATCCAGTAAAACAGGTTGCGGTAGAAGTTTACAATGTTCATAGGGGGATATCCCGGGCGGGTATGCAAAAGGCTCATGCTGCTTTGTTGCTGTTAATATCTATTTTTTTGTGGTGCAAGTAAGGGTACGAGAACTTTGCGGGCGGGGCTGTAAGTGCGCTGTCCAACTCGACATATTGGGGAATTCACTGCGAGGTGTCGGTTGTCCGGAGGATTATGTGGGTCTCTATGCACTGGAATGATTGGTTCTCTACCGGGGGTCGGGGACCTACTGGGGGCTTTGGGGGTTTAGTTTGGTATTGAATTCCTGGTACTCTTCTACCGGAGTGTATATAGCTAATGGGAGGATCTGGTGTGCATTGGTATGGGGCATGGAATCAACGGCGTCTGTGGGCTGGGGACAGGTATTTGCTCGGGTATGGGCGTGGGTGACCGGACAGCCGGGGTTTTCAGAGGCCTGACCGTTCTTGCCCTCATAGGGAATAAAAGAATGAGTCTGGCATGAGGATTGCTCGAACAAGCAAGAAGCTTTGACACCTCTAATCCCTGGCTGTCCGGTCACCCACGTCCATACCCGAGTACCTCTTCATCGGTTTTCATTCCACCACCGAAATACTGACTTCTAGCGCCATGGGTGGTTCACACCGGACAAATGTGGACTCAATCCGATCATCTAATCGGAGGAGAGAAATATAGTAATTGTAGGTGCTCGTAATTATCGTCACTCACACTCAACAGGAGACATGACCGGGAGGGACTAGGTTGAATGTAATAGAACAAACTCAATGTAGGGCGATATCGCTCTCCAGGGGGGGGGGAAGACTTTTTTTCCATAGCACTCCGCTCAATCAATAAAAGTAGGTACGGAGGATATCCCCGCTTGAGGTCCCCTAGCAGAGAGAGAACAAAACTAGCACCTTCCCGGGGACATGCGCTCCATAACGCCATCACACCCAAGCACTCCTCTGCCCTCGTGTATACCTTACACGGGTGTG